AATTTCGTATGGAACCAAACAAGAGCCTGTATAGCCAGGCAATCCTAAGCAAAAAGAACAAAGCTGGAGGCATCACGCTACTTGACTTCAAACTATACTACAAGACTACAGTAACCAAAACAGCATGGTACTGGTACCAAAACAGATATATAGATCAATGAAAAAGAACAGAGGCTTCATAATTAACACCACACATCTACAACCATCTGATCTTTGACAAACCTGGCAAAAACAAGCAATGGGGAAAGGATTCCCTATTTAATAAATGATGCTGGGAAAATTGGCTTAGTCATAAGCAGAAAACAGAAACTGGACCCCTTCTTTACATCTTATACAAAGATTAACTCAAGGTGGATTAAAGACTTAAATCTAAAACCATAAAACCCCTAGAAGAAAACCCAGGCAATACCATTCAGGACATAAGCATGAGCAAAACTTCATAACTAAAACACCAAAAGCAATGGCAACAAAAGCCAAAATTGACAAATGGAATCTAATTAAACTAAAGAGCTTCTGTACAGCAAAGGAAACTATCATCAGAGTGAACAGGCAACCCAGAGAATCGGAGAAAATTTTTGCAATCTATCCATCTGACAAAAGTCTAATATCCAGAATCTACAAAGAACTTAAACAAATTTGCAAGAAAAAACAACCCCATCAAAAGAAGACATTTATGTGGCCAACAAACATATGAAAAAAAGTTCATCATCACTGGTCATTAGAGAAATGCAAATCAAACCCACAATGAGATACCTTCTCAAGCCAGTTAGAATGGGGATCATTAAAAAGTCAGGAAACAGACTGGGCGCGGTGGCTCACGCCTGTAATCCCAGCACTTTGGGAGGCCGAGGCAGGCAGATCACGAGGTCAGGAGATGGAGACCATCCTGGCTAACACGGTGAAACCCCATCTCTACTAAAAAAATACAGAAAACTAGCCGGGCGAGGTGGCGGGTGCCTGTAGTCCCAGCTACTGGGGAGGCTGAGGCCGGAGAATGGTGTGAACCCGGGAGGCGGAGCTTGCAGTGAGCTGAGATCCGGCCACTGCACTCCAGCCTGGGCCACAGAGCGAGACTCCATCTCAAAAAAATAAAATAAAATAAAATAAATAAACTCACTCAGCCACTCATTGTTTTTAATTGAATTGTTACTTACATTTAAAATAATCCCTGGCCAGGCATGGTGGTTCAGGCCTGTAATCCCAGCACTTTGGGAGGCCAAGGTGGGTGGATCATGAACTCAGGAGTTTAAGACCAGCCTGGCCAAGATGGTGAAACCCCATCTCCACTAAAAATACAAAAACAAAATTAGCTAGGCGTAATGACGAGCACCTGTAATCCCAGCTACTTGGGAGGCTGAGGCAGAGAACTGCTTGAACCCGGGAGGCAGAGCTTGCAGTGAGCCGAGATCATGCCACTGCACTCCATCCTGGGCAACAAAGCGAGACTCCGTCTCAAAAAAAAAGTCAGGAAACAACACACAGATGCTGGAGAGGATGTGGAGAAATGGGAACGCTTTTACACTGTGGGTGGGAGTGTAAATTAGTTCAACCATTGTGGAAGACAGTGTGGCAGTTCCTCAAGGATCTAGAACCAGAAATACCATTTGACCCAGCAATCCCATTACTGGGTATATACCCAAATGATTATAAATCATTTTACTATAAAGACACATGCACACGTATGTTTATTGCAGCACTATTTACAGTAGCAAAGACTTGGAACCAACTCAAATACCCATCAATGAAACACTGGATAAAGACAATGTGGTACCATTGCAATACCATAGTATTCCATATACATCATGGAATACTATGCAGTAATAAAAAGGGATGAGTGAATGTCCTTTGCAGGAACATGGATGAAGCTGGAAACCATCATCTTCAGCAAACTAACACAGGAACAGAAAACAAAACACCACATGTTCTCACTCATAAAGTAGGAGTTGAACAATGAGAACAAATGGACACAGGGAGGGGAACATCACACACTGGGGCCTGTCAGGGCATTGTGGGGAACGGGAGGGAGAGCATTAGGACAAATACCTAATGCACATGGAGCTTAAAACCTAGCTGATGGGTTGATAGGTGCAGCAAACCACCATGGCACATGTATACTTATGTAACAAACCTGCACGTTCTGACATGTATCCCAGAACGTAAAGTAAAATTTTTTAAAAAAGAAAAAATACTTTCATCTCTAAAAATAGGGTATATCTTATACTGTATGTACTTCACCATTACAGTTCTTTTCCTAACCCAAGTCTTAACTCATTTTATTGTTAGTGCCGGTTTAATTGCATCCTTGTTGCACTATAATCTCTATGATTCCAATTATTCAGACCCCAGTTCCCAGAACAAGCTTAATTTACATTTGATAAGCAAACTTGTTAATGGATGAAATATGTGTCTCCATGAATGGTGACAAAATAAACATAAATAGATATCCCACTTTATGCAAGTCTTCTTCTGAAAAAATATCATTGATTAGAAAGTGAAGGTCCAATATAAAATTTTGAGGGCTATAGATCCTACTTGCTCTACAAATATTTTATCCAATATAGTTTAAAGCATTTGGCATAATTTACTAAAAATCCACAGCAAACAATGATAGAGCATTATTTTTATTTTGGTAACATAAGGAGGAACTTTGTCACTTGACAAAGTACCATGATATCGTGGTACCACTTGGTAGTACTCAAGAGAAATCTGTCTATGTTTATAAGCGTATTTTTAAACCTTGTCAGCTTATAAATTGGATCTTTCAAAGTCAGGGTATTTGTTGGTGTCAAAATATTGCAGGAAGAGAGATTGTTGCTTCTAATATTGGAGAAGAATGTGGTATTCCTGGAAAGGGATGGAAGGGCCAGCATAAGGAAAAAAGAATGATAAGGAAGATTCAAATGCTTTCAGTGCATGCTCTGTCATATCTGCGTTATCTCTGCTTAAAACATAATTTTGTTTAAAGTGTTCTAAACTCATGAGAGTTTTATAAACAGCAAAAGATCATAGTTACTCTAAAAATAAAAGCCCTCAGAAAATTTGGGGAAGTTTGGGAGAGTTTGGAAAACAGCAGGCACTATAATTGGTTGGGTACACACCCATATTAACCAGATTTGGAAGGTCAAGATAAAGCTCCAGCTGACAACTTGACAGCATTGCCTTAGGCAAAGTCTTCTACAGGAAACGCTTTCCTTTCCTTACCCATCCTTTCCCCTTTAGTCCTCCAGGGTTGCTTCTTAGCTTTACTGAGGCGGCAAATTAAATGCCACTTTCCCAGGAAGCCTTCAGTTAGCTCCTTGATAATCAATTGCATAACACACTATTTTTTTCACAGGCCTTATTCCAGTTTCATTTTCATGGTCATCTTGTAGTTTTTGTTTTGTTTTGTTTTGTTTTGTGGGGGTTTGTTTGTTTGTTTTGTTTTTGAGATGGAGTCTCACTCTGTTGCCAGGCTGGAGTGCAGTGGTACGATCTCAGCTCACTGCAACCTCCACCTCCTGAGTTCAAGCGATTCTCCTGCCTCAGCCTCCCGAGTAGCTAGCATTACAGGCACACATCACCATGCTCAGCTAATTTTTGTATTTTTCGTTTTTAGGTTCATCTTTTCTAATAGCAATGAGTTCAGTGTGGGTATATACCTTTTATTTCTAGTTTTCCACCTATTCTTAGCAACTAGCACTGCATGTAATAGTCAGTACTAGCACTGCATGTAATAGTACTTGCACATCAAAAATGTAACAAACGGGTAAATAAACAACTGAGAGACACTGAAAGGATAGAAGCCGTACAGTGCATTATCTTACTAATTATGCCTCTGCTTCTGAGCAGTTAAAAATGACAGCTCATTCTCTAACGTTTAATACTGTATTTAAAATGATTACCACTTTTGGACTTACAAGACCCTTCTACAATATCCTTCCTCATCTCACTGAATTCATTTATTTATTTTGATGTAAGTTTGAACAGAGGACATAGTTTCCTACTACAGACTATACAATCCAATGCCTGCTATAATGCAGTGAAATAGGAAGTATCATACCATGAGTTCACATGACGTTTTCTAGACTTAAAATGCAAAAATTCCTTATTTCCAGAAAAAGAATGGTATAGGCAAAGACCACTTAGAGTGAAGCCATGGTAAATGAAGATCAGTAATTTAGTACAAATAATTTAAACTATTTGGTTAAGGTTTTATCTGGAAGATATATCTCAAAATTATGAAAATGTTTCCTATACGGATATGCAGTTATAATAATGATAAGTGTTATTTATATATCTATGTGAGCCATAGAAAATTTTACAGCTGTGTTTTTTTCTATGGACCAAGACTCCAGTGTTAGGCAATTCAAACTATTTCTTTGATGTAACTACACAACCAGAGAACTAGGCTGCTTTCGTCTACTTTATACATCACCTTTAAAGTGTGCCCTTTGTCTTTGTGTTGTATTTGCATGTCTACACATCTCTTCCACATGTTAAGAGGATGGCATATAAGGTACAATTAAAAAATTGCCTCATTACAGCTTGCTCAATATGCATGCATCTCTGCTACATTCTTGGAAAGGAATAAACTATGTGTCCATCTACAGGAAGGCTCAGAGATTGATGTGTTATTGACAACCAAAAAAAAAAAAAAAAAGTTGGCTGACATAAGCATTCCTTGAATATTTTCATGCCTATCTTATTTAAAAGTAGTTTCAAATGTACTACGCAAATGTTATATTCTACAGCAAAGGCACTGAAGCATACATTGACTAAAGGATTCACTTTATACTACTACTGAGTAATGGCCAAGTTACGACTTTGTAGACATATGTTTCGTGTATGTATGTAGACATATTCCATTGTATTTTACATAATGCAAAATATTGTACAAGTATTTAATCAAAAGAAAATGGGAGAAGAGCCCATTAAAAAAAGCCTCTTATTAAAAGACGTTATTTTTTACCAAAAAAAAAAAAAGAAATTCATCACAGTGTTACTTGCGATTTTTTTTATAATCATAAAATACTTACTCCCAGAGCCTTTGCTAGAACTTTCTTTAATGCCCCTCTCACTTCCTTGTTCCTCAAGGTATAAATAAGAGGGTTAAGCATGGGGGTCACCACAGTGTAGAAGAGGGAAACAAACTTTCCCTGGTCCCTGGATGTACTCTTGGCTGGCTGCAGATACATGAATATGATGGTTCCATAAAAGATGACGACCACCGTCAAGTGGGAGGAGCAGGTCCCAAATGCTTTCTGTCTCCCCGTAGCTGACTTAATCCTCAACACTGCGTGGGCAATGAAGCCATAGGAGACCAGGATGAAAGAGACAGGCACTATAAAGAAAAGGATACTAGCCACGAAAAGCTCAGCCTGGTTAAACGTGGTGTCCACACAAGCCAGCTTGATGAGCACAGGGACCTCACAGATGAAATGATCCACTCGACGATGCCCACAGAAGGGCAGCTGCAGGGTGAGGGTGGACTGTACCAGGGTGGTGGCTATTCCACTGAGCCATGCCACAGATGCCAAGGCCATGCAGAGACAGGGATGCATTAAGACGGTGTAACGGAGAGGACGGCAGACAGCCACATAGCGGTCATAGGACATCACAGCCAGGAGGACACACTCCGTGGATCCCAGGGCATGGGAGACGTAGAGCTGAACGGCACAGCCGCCATAGGTGATAGTTTTCATGGGTTCCCACAGGTTTACCAGGAGCTGGGGAATAACACTGCTGGTGAAGCAGAGGTCCAGGAAAGAGAGATGAGAAAGGAAGAAATACATCGGCATATGAAGCTTGGGTTCCAGACGAGAAACCAGAATGATGGTGGTATTCCCCAAAATAGTTAGTAAATACAGAATCAATATAAGCACAAATAGAACCTTCTGTAACTGAGGATAATCAGAAAACCCCAAAAGGATGAAACCTGCTAGGTTGCTCTCACTGGTATTTCTCACCATCCCCATATGTAAAGTGTGTTCCTGAAGGCTGAGGAATAGCTGAGAAAGATAACACATCACATAGGGTTAAATGAGTGACAATGTTACCTGCCCACCCAAAAAAGTATTGTATGTTAAATGCTTAAAAGCTATGTCTTTACATCCAGTGACTTAGATCTATGTATTTTCCAAATATGTACATTATAAATAAACGCAATATACATCCTTCTAATATCTTAGCTGTCCTTCAATCCTTTCCAAAGCAGAGAAGAGCAAGAGCAGACATCATCTTTTGCAGGAAATAAATTTGACCCTCCCTTTAAAATAAATTTCCCCTTTTATATTAATGTCTTTCAAATTACAGAAAAAGAGAGGCTCAGATAATTCTAACTAGAGACAGAAACCTGAGGTTTTATTTCAGCAATTTTTAATTACAGGAGAAAAATGATTTTTTTATCCTAAAAGTGTGAAAATTTGGGCTGAGGGCAGTGGCCTGCACTTGTAATTCCAGCACTTTGGGAGGCTGACACAGAAGAATTGTTTGAAGCCAGGAGTTTGAGATCAGAAGTGTGGCAATTATTTATAAGGGTAGATGGTTGAAATGTACTACATATGATTGGCATTAATTAAAAATCAACTCCTGGCCGGGCGCGGTGGCTCTATCCTGTAATCCCAGCACTTTGGGAGGCCGAGACGGGTGGATCACAAGGTCAGGAGATCGAGACCATCCTGGCTAACACGGCGAAACCCTGTCTCTACTAAAAAATACAAAAAAATTAGCCGGGCGAGGTGGCGGCGCCTGTAGCCCCAGCTACTCGGGAGGCTGAGGCAGGAGAATGGCATGAACCAGGAGGTGGAGCTTGCAGTGACCTGAGATCCGGCCACTGCACTCCAGCCTGGGTGACAGAGCGAGACTCCGTCTCAAAAAAAAAAAAAAAAATCAACTCCTGAGAGCTTATGTGACCTGACCAAAGGCACATACTTAGTAAGTCATAAAGGCGATGCTTGAATCTGTCTCTTCTGACTTCATTTCTCTGTACATTCTATACTCTGTGTGTGTTCCCTCTTCCTTCCTTGAGTTCCTATTTGTTTGTTTGCTTTTATTTATTGCTTGCTTCCTTTCATAGGGACCCAGGATGCTCCTGACTCCCAAAGTAGTTTTTCATAAAGAAATGTTATCCCTATTATTTTAGACCTTTTCTTCCTGGAATCATTTGCACTTTGCATAACAGCTTAAAGTTTAGAAGCGAAATGTGGTTCCCATTACTGGGAGCATGTAATTAAGGATGATTTATTTATTTATTTATTTATTTATTTATTTATTTATTTTAGATGGAGTCTCACTCTGTTGCCAGGCTAGAGTGCAGTGCCGAGTAGCTGAGATTATAGGCACACGCCACCATGCCCTGCTAATTTTTGTATTTTTAATAGAGATGAGATTTCACCGTGTTAGCCAGGATGGTCTCGATCTCCTGACCTTACGATCCGTCTGCCTCGGCCTCCCAAAGTGCTGGGATTATAGGTGTGAGCCACCGCGCCCGGCCGAGGATATTTTATTTGCAAATAAGCATTACATCTGATTTATGAGACAATTCTACTCAGGAACATGCAAATTAATCCTTCATTATAGAAAGGCCAGTCCTTCCTTTCTATCTGCAGTGACCAAGGTGACCGCTCCCATAACCTTTGTTCTTAACCACATAAAAGCTTTGCCAAGAGATTAAGTTTTTAAAACTTTTTCTGTTTTGTGTGTATTTGACTAAGTTGTATGTGTGTCTATTCACAATAGTTTGTGAGATTCATGAAGCCAGGGACCACATGTGACAAGCGCTCACAGCCCCAGCCCCTCAAGTGCTCAGCACAGAGTAACCTCTCAAAGATCATTCATCTATGTAACACCTACGATGTTTTACCTCTTTTATTCTCCCAGGAGAAATTAATACAGGTAGAGTCAACTAGAAGATAGTTGATATCATTATCAAATGAACAGACCTAAAAATCTGGCAGAAAAAACTTACCAATTTTCCTCCAAATTGGAGCTGCCTCAAACGTGTGTGATCCTACCATCTATTTGAATCTGGCTTTATTAACAGCATTAATGTGAGTAAGAGGGACTTGTAATGTGGCTATTAGAAATCATAGCCACACACTCTTCCTTCTTGATTTTGATGAACACTAAACTCTTGTTAACTACAAAATGGAAACACTGTGCAGTAAGCTCATTATTATCTTGTCCTTTTCACTTCACTCTTTCCACGTAGGAAGGTTCAGACATTTTGTCTATTATTAACTAAGTGTCTTTCTATTACTGAAGAAAGTGTTTCCTTTTCAAATTCATTTTCTTTAAGTAAATATTGGGCAACATTAACTATTATTAGTCCTCTCTTTGTCGCTGCACATCAGTGTCCTGCAAAATGTTCTCCTGGTTTTTCATTTGTGAGCTCCTAAGTCACTGGCTTTTAAATTTTCACAGTGAAGAATTACTGCCTTGGATCAGTTTTCCTCTCATTCTGAACCTTTCATGCCTTCCCAGTAAACGCCTATGAGTAGACTCTGGGAGGAGAGCAGCAATGTCCAGGACCTTCCAAAAGTGCATCACAAGGTGCATGGAAAGTAATTAATTTCATTTGCAGATAACACTGAACTTCAACCTACTGAACAATAGCAACTCTTCTGAGCAAGAAAACCATTCTCATTGGTCACTAAGAACATCATACATTACTAAACATGAAAAGTTTGACATTAGTTCTAAGAAACAATTTTTAAAATGTAAATATTGCTAGATTGAATGTAGTATCTCTATAACTTCTTTCTTTA